CCCGTGGTCAGGAAGCCGTGGTCGGAGCGGGAAGGTGGTGGCAGCCGTTTCCGCGCTGTCCGCCCTTTGCTGTTGGTTCGGGAGGAATGAGCCCGACTGCCTCCCCCCCCAGTCAGTGCCTGGCCCGTCCCCGCCCTGAGACCCTCTGAAAACATGCTAGGCCCAGGGGAGCGGATGACAAAACCTTTCACGGATTTGAGGGAGGAAAGTGAGCAGAGTCTCGGGGAGAGGGCAGTGAGTGTGTGTTTGCAGAGGGAATTCCGGCAGATTTAGCGGTTCCTCGCGGTTCACAGTGGAAGCACTGAGACCAGCACCTCCTGGAAGTGTAGTTGAATCACTGCGTCTCCGGGGGCAAGGCAGCCGCTGTGTCAGGAGGACAAGGGGCTTCTGGGTGGGACAAAGGAGGCCCGTCCGAGGTGGAAGGGGCGGAGCGAGGTCTGTGAGGGGCTCGCTCTCCAGTCCGAGGGTCGGGAGCACACAGCGGAACTGTAGGTCGCCACGTGGATTTGGGGGGAGTGAGGGAGCGAGTGCGCTTCCCACAGAGCCCGGGAGGACGGGTCCTGTGTAACCTGAACCCAGCGCTGGCACCCGTGGCGCCTGTCAGCTCTGCCGTGACCACCCCAGAACGTGCTGCCCGCTTCTCCCTGTGAGGCCTTTGAGGCCGAGCCGGACGGGGCGTGACGTGTGTGACGGGGGTGTTGTCTCCTAGTGCCGGAGCAGCAGGAGAGAGCGTTCACGCTGGGCCTGGCGGGACTTCTCGGCGAGGGAGTGTTTAACTTCGGAGAACTCGTAAGTGGGCCCTGGGCACAGACGCGTCGCCGCGGGCACGGCGCGCTGCCAGCTAACCGGCTCTGTCCCGCAGCTCATGCACCCCGTGCTGGAGTCGCTGAGGGGCACCGACCGGCAGTGGCTGATTGACACCCTGTATGCCTTCAACAGCGGCAACGTGGAGCAGTTCCAGACGCTGAAGGCCGCCTGGGGCCAGCAGGTCAGTCCCGGCCGCGCTGGGGAGACCGAGGCAGGCAGCCTGCTCTCGCCGGCAGGAGGCCCGGGCGGCTCCGGTGCAGCCATCATGCTCTGCCCTGCAGACAGCGGGGAGGGTGACACCGGCCTCCAGCAGAGTGACCTTGCGCGTGCGGAGAGGGGAGCGGGGTTGGGGTCACGGACCCGTCTTGGGTGTGGTTCTGAGCTCAGCCGATGACTGCCGCCTGGGCTGCCCCAGGGAAGCTGGGAGCTTGTCTTCCCCCAGGACAGTCCCTGGAACAGGAGTGCTGCTCAGGCCCCGCGGCCGCCCCTGCTGTCTGACAGGAGGACAGCCCTCCCCGGCCGGGTCCTTGTCTTGGGAAACAGCCTCCCGCTGGGCGCTGTTCTGGTCATTTCCGACGAAAAGCACAGCCCGGGACCTGATGCTGGTCAGGAGCCCCCGGGCCAGTGCTGTGCAGGGTCGCCTGTCTCTCCCGCCTGCTGGCCAGGTGACCCGTCTTTCTCCTCCGCAGCCTGACCTCGCCGCCAACGAAGCTCAGCTCCTGAGGAAGATCCAGCTGCTCTGCCTCATGGAGGTGAGCGAGCGCCGGACCCTCTGTGCCGTGAGGCCGGCCGGTGGCGCGGGTCCTGCCAACCCCAAGCCCTGGGCGCCCCTGCAGCTGGTG